TATGAAATATGATAGTATTCAATGGATTGGATGTTCTCATGTGCCTGTGGAGAATAAATCAAATAACTAGCATTGTTGTTCTCATAATTCACACTGGGTTTCTAAAATAGATAAACTGATGATTTTGAAATACGTGTAATGCATAATCGTACTCAGTTTCTTTCAGTTATGATATTAATAATTGCATATATCTAATTCCTCCAATTCTTTTATGTGTCTTTCAATGACAATGACAAAAACACCAAAGCAATCAAAGCTATGAGATTAATATGAGGGAAGAACAAGACCTGTAGATGACTTGCAACGTTTTCTCTACTTAAACCAGGTACATTCATCAATTCAAGAATTCTCTTTGGTACAGCCTCTGACATAGGAAAAAAAATTATGATCAATGGTAATGGAAAGAAGGATTGAGCATTCACATTATGATTTCTGAGATAATACTATAAGGCTACACTCTTAGACATAAATTTTTCTCTTCGTTTAAAAGAAAAGTATCATGTAAATAAATCTCGTTCATATGCTTGCAGGGTGGAGGTAAAATTTCACTGAAATCCAAATTACACCAAGAATTATCACTTTGGAGTCAAATGACTTATGCTTAGTTATATGTAACTTGTACTTGAAAATCATCTGTCTCCACTGGACCGCCCCACTTCCCAGATTCCTCAGATATTAAGTTGGTGAACTTACTTATTTTCAAACATGCACAAACAAAAGAAATCCCAAATGGTCCACATATAAGATGTTTTCGGTGACACAACGTTTACGCCATAACACATCATATGCTATAAAGAATAACATTTACTGAACTATAGCACCTCATCCTATATATGTGTGTGTGTGTGTGTGTGTGTGTGTGTGTGTGTGTGTGTGTGTGATTGTAATAAAACCAAAATACAAGGTAAAAAGTTAAAGATCATACTATCAAGACCAAGTTGGTTCACAGCACTGACAAACTGCTGATGGAGTTCAACTGACCACACTACACGAGGTTTCTTCGAGGTAGACGGATCATCGTTTTCCATATCACCATCATCATCTTCTTTAGCATTGCTCCTCTTCTTCGGACCTTTCAATATTACTTCTGTTCCTTCATTAGCAGAAGATGTGTATTCAACATCACTGTTTCCTCGTTTATTCCGATCATTATCTTCCAAACTCCCAGAATGATCAAGTTCTTTATTTCCGTTCCATTTTTTCCTAACAACATGCTGCCAAATATTCTTGAGTTCTGCCTCATGTATAGGCTTAATTAAATAATCGCAGGCCCCATGTCTAATTCCTTGCATAACTGCACTTGTTCTCCCATCAGCAGACATCACTGTTAATACAGCGGCAGGTTAATACAAATAAGCGTAATTCGATGACCAAATTTCTTAATATATATAATTCCTATACTCACTGATAACAGGAAGGTCCATTTCCAGCCCAACATGTTCCAGGAGTTTAAATCCATCCATATCAGGCATATGAACATCACTCAGTACCACATCAAAACAGCCTTTCCTCTCTCGTAGAAGATTCAAAGCAACAGTAGCCTGGGAGCAAGCGGTAACTGCAAGAAACATTAATATATGAGATAAGAAATATATTATATCTCAGGAAAATTTTGTTTTTTCTACTCTCTGAACCAGACCAGAAAAATACTAGGTTTAACAAAAACGCCATGCAGTTTTTTTCACAAACTACAAACTAGTATTACAAAAATGACCAAACTGCAAAGTAAACAAGCAAGAATCAGTAGCACCACCACCCATTCACAATCATAAGAAAATCAACTCATAGCACCTAACCACACTTGGAAGGAAACCCAACAGGGAACGAAAGTATAACCCGTCATTGAGAAAGAAAAAGATCAACGACATACCTTGGTAGGCACACCGGCCAAGCAACACCTCAAGAATCCTCAGGCAAGTGGTGTCATCGTCGACCACCAGAACCCTTAAGCCCGCCGGAAACCGATCGGAGACCGCCATTTCGTTGGCTGCAGAAAAGGACGAAGCAGCACCACCTTTACACGAACCGTAGCTACTCGCAGTAGTGCTCACGCTTGACTGCGCCACTCTCTGCAAAGCAGCCATAACCACCACCTCCACCACAAGGATAAACAGACACACACACTAATGATCAAACCCTAATGGACTGAAATTTCCCATTTCAAATGGCTGCAAAGAGTGAAAGTGGAATCAATTGGAACGAGATCCGTGAGGGGAAACCTTAGAGTTCGGAGTTAGGGTTCAGGGGAACGATCAAAGAAAGAGAATTGGACCAAATGGTGTTTGAATTATGATTGTTTACTGTCAGAGACAAGCAAAGGGGGAGTAGGGTGGGTTTATACCAATTGGGGGTGAAGAAGATAACGCTAGGAAAAGAAAAGAAAAGAAAAAAACGTTTTTATTTTGTTTCTTTGAATGATTGTTTTTAATAAAAGAGAAATAATTGAAGTTGGGGGCAGTTAATGAGAGTCAGAGATAGAGTGTGTGTGGGCCTGTGGGGCCCAGCTCGCAGTGCTACGTTCGCGTCGCGTGCGTCTTTGCGGCCGTGAAGACGCTCGGCTCTGTCCCAGTCACAGCCGGTTTGCGCTCAATGACAATGTATGTGAATTGGCCCCCAAAAAATTATTTAACAGTTAATATGAATTAACATAAATTGTCCATCTTTTCTGGTCAACAATAAATTTCTGTAAAAACACATAAATAATAAACAATTTTTTGTTGAATTCATATTTAACCCGTGTTACACAAAGAAAATGCCTTTTTATTTTTCTTCGATATGATTTTTTTAAACAAAATTACCACGATATTATTCGACCAACCGGACAAACTTTTACTTGCACATGCAATAATTTTTTATGTACACACGAGTAATAAGCCTTGATTCATAAAAATTAACCATAATTAAGACGTCAAAATATTGTTGATCAATATTCAAAATAACACAATCAAAGGAAATAAAAAAGGAATGAAAAATCTGAAATCATTTCTTTCCTTTTTGTTAAGATTTTGATTCAACCGTTGAAAAGAAAGCCGACGCGTACGCGTAGAGGGCAAGAAAAATAAAAGAGGAAATATAGTAAGATTTGCTGATCCAGTGATGTGATGGGTAAGTTTACCAAATGTGGTTGGGGTCTTGGCCCACACTTAGTGGTCCACAGTGACTTGGGCCTCTGTATTTTCGTATCTTTTAGATGGGCTTTCAGATTGTCTTTGATATTAAATTGCACCCAACCGCGAGACTGGGACCGACCCTTATCTTCATTCAAGGATCAAAGTTGTGTACTCATCAATTTCCCAAATCCAATAATTATGATGTTGAAGCACTTCCAATCGGGAAGATGGGTTATGCTCATCTCCTCCTCACCCAAATTACCATTTTCTCCAAAGCCCACCTCCTCCAAATCTGCAGCAGCTAGCGGATATTTCAGAACGTGCTCTGCCTCAGCTGACGCTTTGCATATCTTGAGACCAAGTAGGGCCTTGAGCATTTGCTGCGCTGCCAGGCGGAGAGCCGTCAGATATGATGATGATGGTGAGGATGAGGAGGAGGAAGAGTACGGGCATCACAAGGAGATAGCAGTGTTGGAATTATACAGTCAGAGTGTGAGAGGGGAAGCACTTATTGTGCATGCAGTGGTGGATGACCAAGATGTGCAAGTGCTTATCTTCAAGGTGTGCTTCTAATTATTTTCAATTTTTTTTATTTTTTAGTGGTGGCGGATGGCGGTCAATATTTGGTTTGTTTTGGTGGCACTATATTCAAAAGTAGATTGGTAACAGCATTTGTCTAAAACTTTGCCTATATTTTTAAGCACACTTACTAAGAAAGCAAATCACTTTGGCCCCGATTACTTCTCTAGGAGATAGGTAGCAACATTTGTCTGCCGCCCGCCTAAACATTGCTTATGAATAGTTATGATGACATTTACCTGATAATTATTTCAGGGATTCTCTTCATGCTTGAGCTATAGGACTTCACCGGACCCATCAAAGAGCATTCTTCCTGCAAGAGCAGTGATAAAGTCTATAGACAGGGTTAAAGGGCCTTTTGACCCTTCCAATATAGAATACTTGCAGAAGGGCCTAACATGGGAAGCGTTTAAGAGCACTACTCTACCACCCAATTTACAAATGTATATATAGTAGAGAGAGAGAGAAAGAGAGAGATGAATGATTTTATTTTACTTTGATTTGCCCAATTTTACTAAATTAAATGTGAATTCGATAATTATGCAGAAATCCCTCTCTCTTTCTCTCTGCTGCAAAATATATACTCAATTCATGTCTGATAAGACACAATGCACATAACATTCAGATGTGCCTGTAAATCTACAAACAAATTAATCAAATACAAGCAAACACCTCCTTCAACTGAACTGAAAGTCAAGTGCCATGCCCCATGTAAGAGGGCACATAAGCAAGGGGTTGCATGACACATCACATACTAGATTATTATTATTATTATTATTATTATTTTAACACAAGCGATAGTCTAAATTATAGGAAATGAAGATTTCACACACACACACAATTATGATGTCATGGAGGTTCGAACCTGAGACTTCTAGTCTGTAAGTCGTCAATGGCCTTTTTCACTAGGCGAGATCCCGTTGGCTACATACTAGATTAGTTAGAACAAGGTTTTGTCAGAGAGTTGCTAGGCACTGCTTAGAAGTTACATCAGTACAAAATTCACCATGCATACATGGACATATCAGCCGTTTAAATTTTCACCATTAAATCTCAAAGTAAACCTTATTTTAAATTGTCTGTAAGAGATCTAATTTAATAGAAGGCCTAAGAATGCACTATTTCGTGTTTATACCACAAACGTAGGGCGGCCATTATAATATAGTTTTGTAAATGTCAAACAAATCATGTACGAAGTTGAAAAATGTTTAATAATTTACAGCATTTTATATCGCTATCCTTATTAATTTTTGTTTTATTATAAAATATTATGAGCTCAAATTTCTTAAATTACTGTAATGGATGAAAGGTTAATGCAGATTAGGAATTTGAAATTCATACAGATATTTACAATTTGACAATGGAATTTAAATTTGTAACTCTTTTAAGCATGCTTAGGGTCTAATTGTAGTTGACCAAAAAAAAAAAAAAAAGGGTCTAATTGTAGGGTCCATGTATATGATATTGGCACGAGCACCGCCAAATCGCTTACGCAAAACCCAACGCAACAAAAATATCTTCTACAACAAACGGATGACGTGGAAGCTATAGGGCGGCCAAGTTTGGCCGAGATATTTTCCTAGAAAATATCAGCTAGACACGTATTGCCTATTCCACCTACGTGGACTATTGTTATTACTTCAACCCTCCAATCTTTCTTAAACTACTGGCACTGCCACTCCCCATGTGGTCGGCTTAGTCTTTGGTTTACTATTTGCACATGGGTCATAAATATCTTGGTGGCATTCTTGCAAATAAGGATCTGAAACAGAGCATTTTTGTCAGATGAATTCCAAATTAAAGCTATAAATTAAAATAAAATGAGATATTTTGAGTAGATGCACACCAACAGCCAACAACACCATCCATCCTTTGGAGCAAGAGAGAGAGGCAGAGAAAGAAAGAGCAGAGCTTGAAGCATGGCCATGCCAAATAAATACGAAGAAGAAGAAGAAGCGGAGGAAATTCAAAACTTCGCAAAGAGACTGAAATGTAGCAGATACGAGGAACCTCAAGAAGAAGAAGAAGAAGAAGAAGAGGAGGAGGAGGAGGAGGAGAGCGAGCTGGCGTTGAAGCTAGGGATGGTAGTTTACCCAATGAAACCCGCATCGTTTGTGGTCTCAGATGCTCTGGAGCCCGATAATCCTATCATTTATGTCAACAAAGTCTTCGAGACCTTCACCGGCTATTGCGCCCACGAGGTCCTTGGTCGGAACTGGTAGTCATTTTTTTCTAATTTCTTTTTCCTGTTTTGCTTGTTTTCTGTGTTTGGGAAAATGATGCAAGAGAGTTGTTTTTTAAGGGTTTTAAAGAGAATTTGTGGAAATATGCAAGAGAGTAGATTTGGATTTTATATGTAATTACAAATGTAGAACAAAATGGACGTCTCGCTCAAAAATGATGAAATGTTGCTTCAAAATCAACCTTTAGAATTTGTTCTGGATGAGGTGATTTTTTTTTTGCTGAAGGTATCGGTCATTCCGCACTCTTCAGCAAAATCCCCTGCTAGATTTTGAACTTTAAGGAGAACTGTATGTGTTCCTTTTGATCTAATTCTTTGAGTTAGGTTGAGCATGACAATACAAAACTTTCCTGCGAGGCTGCAACTTTAAATTGTCATCTATGATGGAAACATTTGATTCAAATTCTGCTTTCTAGTGATTGTGATGTCATGATAGTCAACTGGAGAACTTTGAACCTTATATCCAAAATAGTGCTGATTTTGTATTTTTCGAGGAATGATTCCGTAGGATTCTATGGATTAATTCAATGTTGTTTACAATTTTTTTTTAAAGTTTGTTGAGCTGATTCATGTAACGAATATCCGTGTATGCATTCATTTGCATATCTGTCATACGATAATCTATTTTGCTGATAAACTATTTCAGAATTTGTCTTGGTCAATTAAACAAAATGTTTTGTTTCAGTCGATTCCTACAGTATAGGGACCCTCATGCTCAAAGACGGCATCCTCTGGTAGATCCTGTTGTTGTTTCTGAGATTAGAAGGTGTCTCGAGGAAGGCGTTGAGTTCCAAGGCGAGCTTCTTAATTTCAGGAAGGATGGAACTCCCTTGGTGAATAGGCTAAGACTGAAACCTATACATGATGATAATGGAACTGTTACACACATCATAGGCATTCAAGTATTTTCCGAAGCAAAAATAGATCTGAGCAGTGTATCATATCCAGTTTATAAAGAGACATGCAATCAGCGGTATGATCAATCTGGTAAATATTCTCTCATGAGTGGACAAACACCTTTCACCCAGTATCAAGAAATATGTGGCATTCTTCAGCTCTCCGATGAAGTCTTGGCTCACAACATCTTATCACGCTTGACTCCCAGGGATGTGGCATCCATTGGTTCTGTCTGCAGAAGAATCCGTCAACTAACAAAAAATGAGCATGTAAGAAAGATGGTATGTCAAAATGCATGGGGAAGGGAAGTCACCGGTACATTGGAATTGATGACTAATAAGTTAGGGTGGGGGCGTCTGGCCAGGGAACTGACAACTCTTGAGGCTGTTTGTTGGAGGAAATTTACAATTGGAGGTGCCGTGGAGCCTTCACGATGCAATTTCAGTGCTTGTGCTGTAGGAAATCGACTTGTTCTGTTTGGAGGGGAAGGAGTTGATATGCAGCCAATGGATGACACATTTGTTCTCAATCTTGATGCTGCCGATCCAGAGTGGCGTCGAGTAAGTGTGACTTGGTTGGTAGTTTTTGGAGGCTGTGGGCGGGAAGGATTGCTCAATGATGTTTTCATTCTTGACTTGGATGCCAAGCAGCCAACATGGAAAGAAATTTTTGGTGGAACTCCCCCTCTTCCTAGATCCTGGCATAGCTCTTGCACAGTAGAAGGGTCTAAATTAGTTGTGTCAGGTGGATGCACAGATGCTGGGGTACTTCTTAGTGACACATACTTATTGGATCTCACAACAGACCACCCAACATGGAAAGAGATTCCAACTTCATGGGCTCCTCCCTCTAGGTTGGGGCATTCACTTTCAGTTTATGGTCGATCAAAGATTCTCATGTTTGGTGGACTTGCCAACAGTGGGCACTTGAGGTTACGATCAGGTGAGACTTACACTATTGATTTGGAAGATGAAAACCCTCAGTGGAGGCAACTGGAGTGTAATGCGTTCACCAGCATAGGCAGCCAGAGTGCTGTGGTTCCCCCTCCTAGACTTGATCACGTTGCTGTCAGCATGCCTTGTGGAAGGATCATTATCTTCGGTGGTTCAATCGCTGGGCTGCATTCTCCTTCTCAGCTTTTCCTCTTGGATCCTTCGGAAGAGAAACCATCATGGAGAATTCTCAACGTTCCGGGGCAACCACCTAAATTTGCTTGGGGTCATAGCACTTGCGTGGTTGGCGGTACTAGGGTCCTGGTATTGGGTGGGCACACAGGTGAGGAGTGGATACTTAATGACTTACATGAGTTGTGCTTAGCAAGCCGGCAGGACTGAGACCTCTGATAGACTTATTTTGAGTCTGGTTGGCCGGCCAGCCAGGCAGCAGAGTTAGCAGAATTACATGATTATCTGCAGCAACCACTCTAGAAGAAAATTTTGTTTCGTGATCTGTGCAAGTTGAGTTTCTTCCTCGTAAGTTATTGGCTTCATTTTGCATTGAAATTGGGTGTTTTTGAAGTATGTGTGCTGTTCCTGCTTAGATTTGTACTGCAATGTATAAAGATAACATCATGGTTTGTTACTTGGGCTGTACATTTACGTTGTGAGCATAGGATGTGAATGTGAGCCTCATTATTCTTTTTATAAGGTTATACGAAGTACTGGGTTTTACAATTTTGGATTGATTCATTCGTTGCAAAAGATCATTGATGGATTGATTCATGAGATGGCCCTATATACGATTCAGTCTTTGTTACCTTTGATACTTCTAATTTGTGAATTTTAAGTTGAACAAATATTTTCAATATGTTTCTCTCATATAATATGATCCATCACATGAGATGCTGATTATCATAAAATGTGTGGAAAAAAACAATAACTGTTAAGAAAGAATCATATAATTGTACATTGAGTTGAAGTTTATGTTCAATGAAGAAAAAAAGCGGTGAAAGAATCACGTGCAAGTTCAATTCAAATCTAAGCTCTTGCAGCACCTCTGGGTTTTTCTTATTTCAAGTAGAAAGAAGAATATGCACGTCCAAATCTGGTATTTTGTCATGTCAAATCTAGTATGAGCAGCCTCATGCAATCTAATGTGGCTCCATCATTTCCATGCTACAGAATCGATCTCATCTCTAGCTGACTTGTATAGTTCAAGCCGTTTGGCAATGTTCGTTCGCTTTTCCATGAGCGCTGGATCCTCATCCAACATTGCACCAAGCCTCTCCTTCTGCACACACCAAGGGGAACACATAAATTATATATCATCAACTTCTCTTTTAACTCACCAAAAAGAGTTGGCTTTGAAAAGTGAAAAACTCACCTCTTGCCTCCCAATTTGGGTGTAGAAGAGGTTGAGCAGAGATCTCTTGGCCTCTCGAACTTGACAGTGAACAACAGCCTTGGGAATCGAATTCCTCAGCGTCTCACAAACCATATTGATGTAAGAGTTGACATTTGATGCTGATACAAATATATTTCATCTCAGCAAAACATAAAAATAAAAATTGTAATGAATTTACGCCTTAGCCAGTAAGAGAGTGTATGGAGTCTTGAATTTTTCATACCAATTCTCCTGAGATAATTATCTCCAAAACGGTCCATGTTTTGTACTGGTTCTTTTGAGTTTTTGTCCGCATTTGGTCCTGTTTGATTTGGACCTTTGTCTGATTCAAGATTAAGCTTTCTGAAAAATTCGACTGTCAGATAACTAGACTCCATTTCCACCAGCCGTGTAACTGTTTTCCTGCTTTCGTCACGAAATTTTCAATTCCTGCAATTTCCATAAAGTAGCACCATTACAAATAAGTTCCATCCAAATGTTGACTGTTGGGCATCCCAAAGTTATGTAGATAGCCCCCTCTGGATTCATGAATGAGAGCATAACTAAGATAAATGAAAATTTAATTTAGTTGACTCACGCACAACTGTGGCAAAGTAAAAGCACTGGTGCAGACTGATTTTGCATAAAACTGCTTAAATCACGTGTAAAATTGTAAAAATACCTCTGTTTCAGCTATTGACTTCCGTACAAGTTCTTTCAAAACAAAGTGCACCTGTTAGAAAGCAATGGAGTGAAAAATACTCAGATAAACACAGGATACATTGTTGATATTCACTACATCTTAGCAAGTAAAAGAAAAAAAAGAACATTACAGCATCCACAGAGGCTTCAGCTGGTCCTTTGAAATAGACAATAGATCCGTCAATGAGTCTTCGGTATCCTTGTTCTGGAGCAATCAAATGGGGCTGATAGCCATCAGCCTCAGTAACAACTTTTTGGACATTCTTTAAAGAGAGGTGACGATCAAAGGGAAGCTTTTTCAAGGCAGCCGGTAATTGATGGTCAAAAACTTTATATATTCGATCTCCACCAGGTCGCCTGAAGTAGCAACATATAATTAATATATATATATATATTAGGAAATAAGTAAGATACTTTTTCTTTCAGATATCAAACCTATACTACATAGAACTTGTCTCAAATCAAACTCAGGACTCATCATAACTTCATGATATTCAAACCATGAACAAGTACAAGGGTAGTGATTCTCTTTCAAGGGTTTTCTTTATCCACCACACGCTGTGCAATTTTAAAAATTACCCACTTTTCTTGCAACTCTTGCAATTACTAATACGTCTAGTGAAGCCTAAATAGTTTAAGTTTTCCCAAGAAATGAAGGGGCAGAGTATTGCAAATGAAGCCAAATCATTAGTTGTAAATCTGCAGAGTCCTAGCGTAAACTCATTTTATACTGGATGTAGAACACAACAGACAGTTTAAACTTGATGGCATGTTCCTTCATAGAACCATACTAAGTTCTCTATCTCTAGGGGTTTGGTTCAAAAACTCAATCAATGAATCAAAAGCACATGTTTTCAGAAGAACAACCCTAGTATGCTGAGAAATCAAATCACACACAATGTCAACATGGAACCTCGGAGACTACGGAATTTTCAACTTGAACAACCAATACATGTTGCAGAAAAGTCATGAAATTTACCCTCCATCCAGGTGTTCCTTAAAAACACGGTCAAATGCACGACATAGTTCTAAAATAGTGTATAGCTGGGCCTGTAAATATAGTAACACAAGTAAGTGAAACCTGTCATAAAGAAGAAAACTTGACTCTACAAGGTCAACAACGTTACCCCTGAATCTACACCAATTGGCCTGCCTATGCGATCCAGCTCGGCATTAAGCTCATCAATGGTCTTATTTATCAAAGCAATGATACTAGGTATACGCTGCCTGATGACAATCTCCAGATGCTGATAAGGAAGACGCAATGGAAAAAGCTGTTTCAATAACATTATCATGTGCAAATATCAAGCCAGATAAAGACAATTATTGATAACTAAGACCTTAGACAAAAGTTTGGCAAGATACTCTGAGCCCATTTTGTGCGCCAAGTGTCCATATTCAGGACTAGTTTCAAAGTATTCTTTCTCCTTCCGACGAGCAGCAATCATGTCAACGTTCTTGTTGATATCAGCTTGTGAACGGTTCACAATTCCAACCCATGGGTGTTGCAGTCTATATGACCTTCCTTCTATAACCTTCAACATTCAAAAAGAGTACCCATTAGTGTGATGTTATGGCCACCACCAGAAGTAAGGTAACAACCATGAAATCATGAAAGACCGAAAGGTAACAAGCATGATTCATGAAAGTTAAAATAGTGCACTTCTATAATCAAGTAACTTTTATTCTGGTCAGTTATGTAGTGAGTATGATTGGATCCCTACATCCAGAGCGTTGGTTCCCTTGTCCATCAGATCAAGTTTTGTTAGCACTCCAAATGTCCTTTCACCTAAAAATGCCAAACATAATAGGAAAGAAGTAAGTTTTTCTTGCCTTGTAAACCAAGCATTCCTTTTGATAAACAATGAACTAAGGTGAAAAAAGTATTGTAGCCTCTCCAGGTATAGTTCATATTACCTGTAGGGTCGACTTCTTTTGCAAGTTTGATGGCATCTGAAGTGGCAATATCTTGATTAGCAGGTGATATGGCCAATATAATGCAGTTAGGCTACAAATCGAATAAGTCCATTAGACTGAGTACAGTAGCGGTAAAAGATAAGTAATGAATGATAAATTGATCATGCAAACAACATTATACCGGCAAAGGAATAGTCATGTCCTTAAGAACCAGTACTGAGGAAACCCAGACGTGTACCTCAGACCTCACAGGTCATTCCTTGTGGGCCACCTAAATGTCACCCGTCTTCTTCGGATTTATGTCAATCAGGTGATCGAGAAGTAATGACCTGTGAGGTCTTAGGCACATGTCGTGGTTTACCCAATGCTTGATAGTAGAAAGTTCGCCAATCATCAGATGTAACAGATAGTTTAGTACGTCAATCAGATGTAATTTGGCACGTGCTATGCTATCAAAGATGTATATCGAATTCTCAATCATCTGATAGTAATTGTTCCAAGAATTTTTTTTTTCGCTTTGTAAGGGTACTTTTGTCACTTCACTCGTTGTCATTGACCTGCATACTTTACTAGTTACACTTTAACCAAAGCAAAGAAAGTATATTCACCTTCTCAACGTAAGAACGGACCATATTCTCAATATCTTCAACAATGGTGTCTGGTTGTCCCTCTGCAAATCAAGAAAATTTTCACGAAGCTCTTACCAAACTCTAGAGAGAGAGACAGAGACAGAGACAGAGAGATAGATACCTACAGCCACCTTCGTCAATCCAGGAAGATCTACAAGTGTCAAGTTTACAACTGCCACACAAATAAACTTATTACCACGCAATTCAAACTAACAGGTATTGTTAACAATATCTAACAATAGCAGTCAACAAAGGAATAACAGAAGATAATAAGTAAATAAAAAGCATCTGGACTTATTAAACGATTTCCATCCATAATGTCATCGCAGGAAATGAAAATACAAACCATTTGGAGAATATATGCTGAGATGAATTGGAATGTTGGAGATGTGTTTTGTTTTCCCAGTTATACGATCAGTCTCATCCTGGATCTCCTTACGTACAGAAGCTGCAATAACAAACAGTAATACTCATTGTTCAGTGTAAGAACCAAGAAGAAACCAAAAAATAAAAAGGAAGAAGAAAGACAAAAGGGTCATATCAATGTAACTTAAACCACTACCATCCAATCCTATGGAAACTACATGATTATCCCTTAAATGCAATTATCATTAGCTCAAAGAATTCACCTTTACATTAATAGCCAAAGAGAAAATGCACCTTGCATTAAAAGTTGACATACCAAAATCAGTGAACTTCTTCTTAGGTGCATGAAGAAACTCTCCATATTCAGCCCGTCCCTCATCCGTCTGGTGAAGTTGCAACACTAACGGTCTCCTTGTCACAATACCTTGCGACCAAAGAAAGATAATGTAAGAAGAAAAGCAATATATGGCATATTTTATCAATTTGGGACTCATGAAGGGATAGCCTCCACTCCACTGAGCTTAGTGCAAATCATATAGCTTTGCTTTAAATGAGCTTTAAATGTTTTACTAAGCAGAATCTGATATATAAAGTTATAAACAAATAAAAACCCACACTGCATCTGACATTCTGCTTAGTTTCCAAGTAACCATAAACACAACCAAAGTAAAAGAAATAAAAATAAAAAAGAAAGCAAACATCTTTGAAAAAAATGGAAGAGGTGCGAATTACCGGATCCACGAGGCAAGAAATCTCTCCCGACCACGCTCTCCAAAACCGATGACTTTCCAGAACTCTGTTTCCACAACAAGATATGATAGCATTGAAAATCAAAAACCCAAGTGAATTTTATTTTAAACGAAAATTAGAAGTTATCAAAACAGAGGACATGGATGAAGTGGTGGCAGAGAAAGACCTGGCCTCCAACAACGGCAACGGTAGGAAGAGCTTCCCAGAGTGACAAACCCTCACCGCCATGATCGCCTAGAACGGTGCAGGCTCGCTGGATTCTGTTGACCAGGCCGATCAAGCTCTCCAATCTGGCCATTGATCTAAGATCAAATTAAACCGACGATCGAAGATCTGCGAGAGGAAATGTGGGTTAGTGGGAGGAGAAGGTTTGGATCTGAGAAGGCAATGCGGGATCAATAGTGAGTGTTTAGATCAAAGATTTGATGTGGGTTTAGGTTAACAGATGGAATCTGTGAGAGAGAGAGAGAGAGAGAGAGAGAGAGAGAGAGAAATATAGAATAAACAGAAAAAACGGTTACGAGAGCAGCGATGGTTGGTGGACGTATGTGCATCAACGTTAATGTAATTGGGCTTGTAAAGTTCGATGCTCACAAACAACCTATCTTACAAATATTTATTTATTTATTTTTGGTTTGGTAAAATTTTCAGATGGTTAATTCATCCTTCTTTTTCCTATATATTTTGATTCTGTTTTTTACTTTTATTCAGTTGCATCTTTTACTTTTTTTGTTTTTCTTTTTCTAGGTAAGGGTGGCGCATAATGTTGTAGTACATCAGATCTAAATCTAAAATGACCACACAAAAAAATAATGACAAGAAGGGTGGGTGGTCCAAATTTAGATATACAGTTGAAAATCGAGTAAGATCCTTTTCTTTCATTGTAATATTGCCTTTAGTTGATTACATACATGTAATACAAATCGCCATTGCGTAAAATGTTGGACACAACCCTTACATTTTATTATTCAAACTCAGTCGGACATTGTCTCAGTAGAACAATCAGAAACCACATTAGTCTTGGGTCTTTTTGTTGTTGAGGCTCAGTTTATCAGATTCACTCGAGAGTTTGCCAAGGCCATGCTAGTTGCCAGCTGCTCAACGAACGAGGCATGCCTAATGAAAATGGCAGCATTTCCTGATATGTTTGCGAGCATCTCTGAGCCGATAAAACATCGGCCAATACACACCAATAGCAAAATCAAATGGCTAAAAAAAAAGAGGAAATATAAGAAATGAGCATTTCCTTCATTTGATGAAAAGCTTGCTAATCAGAATCAATGAGCGATGACCTTACCGTTACATGTGTCGATGTTCAACAGCAGTGCCAAGCATCCTTCAAGCTTATAGAAAGAGCTGACGACACAAAAGATGAAATGACTTAGCACATTAGACGATGCCAAACAATTCTACAGACAAAGATATGTATAAGATCAGCCCGATCAAAAAAAGAAAAGATATGTACAAGATCAGAGGTATAACCTTAGCTTTGCTCCTGATTGAAATATAGAGTAGGCAGACCACTTTGTCCATGACTTTCAATTGGGACGAATAGCCTTGTACGAATCATATTGCACATGTTCACCAAACATAGCGGCGGCTAAAATTAGGTCCTTCTGCAAGGAATTGACTTGATCATATGGAACCAGCGAAGCCTTACATGCTATTACAAATTAATGTTCTCCATCTACAAGCCCTCTCTTTCTCATTTCATCATACAAGCTTGAAATGGCAGCATCATTACCTTCCTTGTGATAGCCTCTGATCAGAATATCAAAGACTGCAGAGTCAGGTGTGATTCCTTTTTTCAACATATCATCAAATACCTGTTTTGCTTCAATCATGAGTCCAGCATTTGCTAAACCAAAAATAAGCGAGCTATAAGTTAACAGATCGGGTATAATGCCCTCTTTAACCATTTTATTCTTGAGTCGAAAAGCCTCGGACAGACTACCCTGTTTGCATAGACCAGCAATCCAAGAAGTGTATACATACTTGTCTGGAATAAACCCTGCCTCTGACATCTCCCTGAAGACCTTCTCAACTTCACTTAGGTTTCCTTCTTTACACATCCCATTAATAAGCACAGAGTATGAAATTTCATTGGCCTTTTCCTTGCAAAAGTAGCCTCTTGCCTCCTTCAGACACCCATGCTTGCATAAGCCATCCATCAAGGCTGAAAGAGTCACACCATCAGGTTCGAAACCCCTTTCTAACAATTCCCTGTAGACACCCAAAGCTGCTTTTAAATTCCCAGCTTTGAAATATGCATCCATGATGGTCGCTAACAACATCTGATCTGGAACTAACCCACTAGAAACCATATCTTCAATAAACAGAATTGCTTTATCTAATCGGCTGTTTTTACATAGGCCTGAGATAACCACCCCATATGCAGCTACATCAAGGTTAAACCCTTGATCATGCATTCTACTCATATACTTCATAGCATCATCCACATTTCCTTTCTGTAAGTGTCCATCTATTATTGAAGTGTAAACAGCTGAATTAGGCTCAACCCCATCTTCCCACATCTTAGAAAACAAATAATCGGCTCTTTCCGACATCCCCTGCATGCAAAGCCCTTTAATTAGAGCATTATAAGTAACCACATTTGGTAACAGTGACGATTGTCTCATTTTCTCAAGCAATTCAAATGCAACCTCCAAATTACCAGCCTTACAATACCCATCAATCAAAGAAGTAAAAGCAACCAAATTCGGCAACACCCCATCCTTCACCATATCACCAAGCACCCTATAACCCAAACCCAAGTCCCCTGTTTTACAGAACATGTCTATAAAGGTACTATATGTAACCACATTCGGTGAACAACTCTTCCACATCAAACCCATATAGACAAATGCTTCTTTCTTCATTTTGACCTTACAAAATCCGTTAAACAATACATTAAACGTACCCAAATCAGGTCTACACCCTCCTATGCGTATCTTTCTCATCATCAAACAAGCTTCATCAATATCACAAAATTTACAATACCCGTCAATCAAAGAATTGTAAGTTACAATATCAGGCAAGCACCCATATCTTGGCATCGAATCCACGAGTGTTCGGGCAAAACTAATATGACCCAATTTACAGAAAAAGGAGATAACTGAATTGAATGAAGAGGGATGAGGATTGTACCCTTTAGAGAGCAAGTGGCAGAGGATTTTCACTGAGAGCTCTCCACAGTTGGAGCTAATGAGGCTATGTAGGAGCTTGTTGCAGGTAAAGGGAGTTGGGAACTGTGAGGTTCTTCGCAGGAGAGCAAAGAATTTGAGGGTTACTAACAATTCCCCGTAGACACCTGAAGCTGCTTTTAAATTCGCTTTGAAATATGCATCCATAATGGTCGTCAGCAACATCTGATCTGGAGCTAATCCACTCCCAACCATATCTTCAATAAACTGCATTACTTTATCTAACCGACCATTTTTACAGAGGCTTGAGATAACCGCCGCATATGCAGCTACATCAAGGCTGAACCCTTGATCATGCATTTTACTCATATACTTCATGGCATCATCTAAATTTCCTTTCTTTAAATGTCCATCTATCATTGAAGTATAGACGGCTGAATTAGGCTCAAACCCATCTTCCCACACCTTAGGAAACAAATAATCGGCTCTTCCCAACATCCCCTTCATGCAAATCCCTTTAATTAAAGCATTATAAGTAACCACATTTGGTATAAGTGACGACTGCCTCATCTTCTCAAGCAATTCAAAAGCAACCTCCAAATTACCAGCCTTACAATATCCATCAATCAAAGAAGTAAAAGTGAAGAAATTCGGCAGCACCCCATCCTTCACCATATCACCAAGCAGCCTATAACCCAATCCCAAATCCCCCATTTTGCAAAACATATCTATAAAGTGACTATATGAAACTACATTCGGTGAACAACTCTTCCACATCAAACCTATATAAACCAAAGCTTCTTTCTTCATTTTAATATTACAGAACCCGTTAAGCAATACATTAAAAGTAACCAAATCAGGTCTACATCCTCCTATGCGTATCTCTTTCATTAACAAACAAGCTTCATCAATGTCAGAAAATTTACAATACCCATCAATCAAAGAATTGTAAGTTACAATATCAGGCAAGCACCGGTATCTCGGCATTGAATTCACGAGCTTTCGGGC